CTGTGTCTCTCTGCCAAATAAATAAAATCTTAAAAAAAAAAAAAATAACAACAACAACAACAAAAGAACAAACCTACTTGGCAGGCTTATTGGGAGAACTTAATTAAATACTATATAGAAGTACCTAATCCAGGGACCAGTACATGACAGATATTGAAGAGATGTTATTTTTCTCTGCAATGGAGAATAAAGCAGAATAAAAAGAAAAGGAAGGAAACATGTTATACAGAGTAGCTAGGGAAGACCCTTCTAACAAGGTGACATTTAGAAGGGAGAGAGCCACACAGCTCTCTGGGGACACAGTGTTCTAGGTTAAGGGGGAAGCAAGTGCAAAGACCCTCAGACATGAGTGCTTGGCTTGTGTGAAGAACAGCAAGGATGCAAATGTGACTAGGGCATATTGGGTAGGAGGAGAGCAGTAGGGGCTGAGGTCAGAGTTAAGGGCGGGTAGAGGTGGTGTCATATCACTGAGAGTGTTGCAGGATGTTGTTAAAACTTTGGCTGTTGTTAAAACTTTGGCTTTTACTCTAAGTGAGAGAAGCAGCCATCAGAAGGTTCTGAAAAAGAAGTGACATGATCTTATTGATGTTTTAAAAAGATCATTCCACTTGTGCTGAAAACAGACTGGGGAGTAGGAGGAAGGAGGAACCAGAGAAACCAGTCAGAAGGCATGCAATGAGATGATCCAGGGTGGGGTGGTAAGAAGGAGTTGTATCTGCATTTATTTTGAAGGTAAAGAAGACATGAACAGCTGATGAATTAGATATGAAGGTGTGAGAAAAAGAGAGTAGCCAAGAATAACCCCAAGAATTTTGATATAAGCTACCCGAAGTCAAAGCTGCTATCTACCAAGATGGGAAGAACAAAGAAAGACCAGGTTTAGGGGAGAATATGGATCTGGAGATGTTAGGTTTGACATACCTATCTCACGGTCCTCGAGGTGGAGACCTACCTTAGTCTCGAGCTGCCATGAGCTGCAGCTGCCCTGGGGTAGCCTGTGAACCAGCACTATAGGCTGAGGGCATGGGCTGCTGGCTCTGTATTCTTCTCTGGCCACATCATATACTTATCATATGCTGCAGCGTACCATATGCCGTATCACATACACGTATCATACTGACACTACCGCTGGGAGAGCTGATGAGGAGACAGGGGTTAGGAAGTGTGAAGCTGGTCAGGACTCCTTCCTTGTTCTGTACCAAAAGGCAACTAAGCCAGTAGCTGACTCCCAGAAGTACCCTCCAGAGTCAAACTCACCTTGCGGTCACAGAGGAACAGTACTAGGATCCCCTGGCCCAAGCCATGCTTATCCAGTTTCTCTTCTAACTGACCATTTTCCACAACATGTAAACACTGTATGAGTTATCCTCAGCCTCACATACTGTAATTCCCCATTATTATCCCCTTCTGACACTAGAAGAGCAGGATTTCACTCCAACTTTTCATTGGAAAAACATAAAATGAGTATTCCTCTTAGGAGAGAGAGGCTCTCACATTCCCAAGATCCCTATTAGTCATTAAACACATCCAAAGAGGAAGAGTTTTTGATAAGTCAATATGTTTAACCAAGGGGAATCTATGCAAAAATTCTGCTATAAGGAATTACATCACTGTTTACAGTAGTGCAAAAATTGAGAATAGTCCCTTGGTTCAATAAAGCAAAGACTTGTTAAAGAAATCTTGGCATAAAAAAGAATACAAAGTGATAATCAAAAATTATTCCATATAGGATGCCGGGGTGGCTCAGTCGGTTAAGCATCCGAATCTAGATTTTGGTTCAGGTCATGATCTCAGGGTCCTGAGATCGAGCCCCATGTTGGGCTCCGTGCTTGGCATGGAGTCTGCTTGAGATTCTATTTCCCTCTCCGTCTGCCCCTCCCACTTGTTCTCCTCTCTCTCTCTATCTCAAATAAATAAATAAATAAATAAATAAATAAATAAATAAATAAATAAATATCTTTTAAAAAAAATGATTCCATATAAGAATACATTAAAAAAGCAGATTGCAGTCTGTATAATGACTCTCAGTTTTATATTTAAAAAAGTGTGTATACCAGTAGTTAAATATGATTATGATTAGCAAAAATAACAGTGATGTTACCACTAGATAAAAGGACTGTGGCTAAATTTTTTTTTTTACTTGTCTAATGAACATATTAACTCTTTTCTACTAAGAACAAGTTTAAACATTTTAAATCTTCAATACAGCAATATTTTTTATTCAATACAATCTCTTTCATATTTGCAGTTTATGGCTGGGATTTAGTTTTTACTATCTGACATTTTTTTTAAAAAACATCTACCTGGGGGGGCGCCTGGGTGGCTCAGTTGGTTGGGCGACTGCCTTCGGCTCAGGTCATGGTCCTGGAGTCCCGGGATCAAGTCCCGCATCGGGCTACCTGCTCAGCAGGGAGTCTGCTTCTCCCTCTGACCCTACCCCCTCTCATGTGCTCTCTCTCTCTCTCATTCTCTCTCTCAAATAAATAAATAAAAATCTTAAAAAAAAAAAACAAAAAAACAAAAAACATCTACCTGGGGCGCCTGGGTGGCTCAGTTAATTAGACGGCTGGCTCTTGATTTCAGCTCAGGTCATGATCTCAGGGTCCTGGGATCAAGCCCTGTGTTCAGTTTTGTGCTCAGCGGGAGTCTACGTGAGCATTCTCTCTCCCTCTCCCTCTGCCTCTGCCCCTTCCCCCTGATAGCACGTGCTCTCTCTCTCACTAAAACATATAAATAAATCTTAAAAAAAAAAAAAAGCCATCTACCTATGCCTGTCTATATACTTCATCTAGGTCAAAAGGCTTCCACCTAAGAAGCCATTTGTGGCCTCTTCCCCAAAGACCTCCCCAGGGGATATGATGTTAACAGCTCCACAGAGACGTCAGACACAGGGTTCCCCAGCTCAGCACAGGAGACTTTGTTCCCGGGGTGTGTGGGTGCTACTTCCCCACCCTAGCAACTGCTACATGGGAACATGAAGCAGAGCAGACTGCCCTACCCTCCACACCTGGCCAAAGACCCAACTGTTAAGCAGAGACTAAGAGTTCCACAGTCCCCACCAGGGCAACAGGCAACGAGCTTTGTTTTCTATAAACAGACCAGAAAAACGTTCAGGTTAAAACACAGTCCTTAGAGGAAGAAAAATAGAAACCAGGCAGCGGGGAATGCTTCATATTCCTAAAAGCTTTTTTTGTAAGTTAACACATGGTGTCTGCTTCTCTCTAGTCACCTATTTATCACTCTCCTCCTCAGAGAAGGGAAAAAGCCCTGGCTGTTTTCCTAGCGCAGAGTTTTGTGGCTGGGGGGAAGGAGGAGAGGGGGGAGGAAGGAGGGTGCTTCAAGCATGATGCAAACCATTTGGAGCTGAGGGAGAGCGCTGCCAACACAAGCTGCACTATTTAAACAAGTGAGGAAATGATCGTATACACAACATGCCAGCGAGCACACACACACACCAAAGGAAGTCGAGAGGGCTTTTTTTCAGGACACAGAGCTGGATGTCAGCGGCTAAAAGGTCGATATTTTCCCTTAACACCCTTCTCAATGACTTAATCATGTTCCGTTTGCACAGAAAACTTCCCAAGAATAAAAAAAGTCTGGAGAATTAAGAGGAGGGGTGAATGGGGAGGGATGTTTGGCCTGGGGCTGACCTTATCCGAGGTTTTCTCCACGTAGCAGGGGTCCTGAGGGGCAGCCAGCAAGGGGACAAAGCCCGAGAGAAGCCGATCCTCTTCCAGGATAAGAAGGGTGAGGTCATCGTCCGGGTCCTTGTACAGTGGCACCTCAGACTGATTCACCGCAGTCAATATGTTACAGAAATCAGCCAGCATCGACCACACATCCATAGCAACCCTGTGAGAAATAAGGTCAGAAAGAAGAACAGCTCTAAAGAGGGACCAGTTAAAGTATTTTAAGTTCTTGTGAGAAGGGAGGTAATGGTGGCAAATGTTATCTATGGTTGGCAACTGCCAGAAAATCTTACCCAAAAAGCTAGGGTACAAAACTGCATCCATGGCAGCAATCTGGTGGGCAAGTGTCCATCTATGCAAAGTTGAAATTGATTAGGGGGAGTTTTTTAAATCCTAACCAGAGAGGAAAAGGAATTTAGAGAATCAGTTGCCTAATGCAGGTCCTGTCACCTTTCCAGACAGTGTGCCTGAGACACTTACTCAAACACTCTAGACACCCAGTGCCTGAGGCAGCTCCCAGAATTCCCCCACTTCTGTCCAGCCAAGTATATGCCACAAGATAGCAACAAAGCGCCAATCTCCCCTCCTCCCATACAGTGAGAGGGGCCAGTCACACAATGAAGCCATGAAGAGAGTCATGTGGGGTTTTTTCCCTTTATGATGCTTTAGAAATCTCTTCCTACATCTAAGTAGGAAAACAAACACAAATAGGTGAAGGGGATTAAGACTACATTTGTCATGATGAGCACCAAGTAACGTATAGAACTGCTGAATCACTATATTGTACACCTGAGACTAATATAATATTGTATGTTAACTATACTGGAATTAAACACCCCCCCCGCAACTAAAAAACCTCATTCCTGGCCTGCCAAGATCATCCCAGAACAGTAAAGCTTCCCATGCATCTCAGCAGATGGACCCGTCTCAGTGCTCCCTTGGCCAGCCCACTCCCTCTCCTTTCTCTCATTTGTGGAAGGTTAGATACAGGGTGACCAACCATTCTGGTTTGCCTGGGACTGTCCCAGCTTTTGTACCTATGGATGCTATGTCGTACTTCAAAAGGAGTGACTTGCACAGGAGAATTACAAAGAAAAGCTTTACAATTAGGGTCAAGAGGTGGAGCGGCAAGAGGCAAGAAGCAAAGAGCTCCGAATGAGCTCCATCCTGGGATCTTCCCAGAGGAGCTACTGCGCATGAGCCAAATCTGCTAGGGAGGGGCCTCGGCCTTAAGCAATCTGTTTCTCCAGCAGTCTAGGAGCCTTTGGGAGATGGCAGAAAAAAGGGCATTCAAGGGACATGCCACTGAAGGTGATGCTGGGGGAGAAAGTGGAGCAGGAGTGTGGGGACTCTCTGACTGGCTCCAGGTGGAAGGAGCCTGCACTGGTTTATTTACTGTAATCACTACACTAGGCAAAGGCAATGAAATGAAACATCTTGTTTTCAAGAGTGTCCTGGGAACCAGGCGGAACACAGCCCCATTAATCACACAATGGCACATAATCAACACACGTGTACTGCAGAAGTAACTTGCTTCACAGGCTTTGCCCGGGAAAGAGAACATGTTTGGGAAGAATCACCGGAGGGATGAGAGTTTTCTAAAGCCTTCTCTCTGCACAGACACCGACAACCAGACTCATTCACAAAGCTCCATCTTTTGGCTCAGCTGAGTTTGGCTGTCAGAAATGTTTAAATATGGAAAAAAATAAACAGTTGCAACACGTTTCTGTGCAGAGATCTGCCTGAGCCCCTTTGTGATGTAATGGGAAACGCGGCATTCAGGCTACCAGCTGTAGAATAAACAGAACTTCGAGGGTTAAAAGGAACTGAACTTTCCACGACCCCATCTGCAGAGAAGAAAATAATAAGAGGAATGATGCACTGCCCCACAGCTCTGATAGTTTATCCTCCGGTCCCGGCTGCAGAGACAAGCACCGGATGTGATAGGGCTGCTCAGGGCCGCCTCCGAGGTTAGCGCTGCCCATGGGAGACGCACAGGGAGGCTCTTCCAGCTCCCCACTTCCTCCCCCAGTGCCCTGCTGGCCACTTGAGCCCACTGCCTGAGTCCAATCCCACAGCGCTGGTGAGCTCTGGCCAACAGGCAGTGCTCGGCTGCAGAGCAGCAATTTGGAAAATAAACAGGAAAGACGACAGTGAGAAGGAAGAAGGTGAAAAGTCTCCCAGCTGAATTCTTGGCTTAGGGACCTTGGTTGGTGCTGTGCAGGTCAAGGACCTGACTGCTTTGGGCGTAGTTGGGGGTGGGGAGGTGTGGGCAGCAGCATCCCCAGTCAGGGAGAGGCAGCAGAAAATTACCCACGGCTTTAACAGTGGGAGGCCCCACATCCCTCTCTCATCCTCCCACCCCTACCATCTTGGATCCAAGACGAAGAAATATGTGGTACCATGTGGTTCTCATTACCATGCTCCCCTGTCCCCTAAGGCTCAGATAAACCCAAACTGACTCCCCCCAGAGACTGCTGGCCACCACTAGGGACCCCTGTCCACAGCTGCCTTTTGCCCATTACCACCTACCTTGTGCCAAAACCTTAAGACTCACTGCAAAAATGGAGTGGATTAGAGTTCCTACCCCAGTGATGGTTTGTAAGATAGCAGCTGGTGCCAAAAGACATAGGAAGTATCCTGAGTTCCCAACTGAGAAATATAAAGGGGCCCAAGGGCCACGCTACACTAACCAGAACCAAGGGATTACACAAAATGTTTCAATGAAAGGTCACTTCTGCCCTGATCCATTCAGACTGGTCTTGTGATTGAACTCTGATTCTAAGTAGTTGCTTTCTTCTGGTATCTTAGTGGGACTGCCGGAGTTAACTTCATCAGTTACCTCCTCTCCCAATGAGCACCACGGACACGAACACAGTAATTAGGCACCCACGCACCATGCCATACCGTGGCTCTCCACAGAGGGAGGGGAAGGGAAGTGTCAGGAAACTAGTACTAAAAAGAAGAGGTACTTAGAAAAATTAGGTGAGGGGGCGCCTGGGTGGCTCAGTCTTTTTTTTTTTTTAATTTTTATTGTTATGTTAATCACCATACATTAGGGTGGCTCAGTCTTTTTTTTTTTTTTTTTTTTTTACGGTGGCTCAGTCTTAAGGTTAAGCATCCACTCTTGGGTATTGGCTCAGGTCATGATCTCAGGGTTGTGAGACTGAGTCCCACATCAGCTCTGCACTCAGCGGGGAGTCTGCTGGAGATTCTCTCCCTCTGCCCCTCTCCACCCTCGCATGCACTCACACTCTTTCAAATCAATCAATCAATCAAGAAAACAAAAACAAAACTAGGCGAGATGCCTGACCTCTCAAGCTAAGGATGAGGTAATTCCTGGAACCTGGGCATCATCACCTCAGCTTACCCCCAACCAGGCCTCTGGGCAACCTGACCTCTCAGGTCAGTTCTGTGGGTGAACATAGGGTTTCCTGTCTGAGTGGAAGGTGAAAAACAGCTTTTTCCTGCTCTAGCTCCTTATCCCAGGTAGGAGTACCTCCCAAGCTTCAACCCTCAGCAGCCTTTGGGTTCTGAGGGTTCGAAGTTAGCCTGGGCGAAGGAGCCCTAAAGTCAAATTCTGGTGCCTATGAGGAGTTTTTTCCCAATCTTCTAGAAACACTTGGGAATTGACTCTCCAAAAGGTTTTTCAGACAATCTCAAACAACCTTTGGTTCTAAATAGTGCTATGAGCCTGGGCGAGTGCCTTTGGCTTATTCTGGTCCCAAGTCATATTTTGGGGAAGCTCCCAGAACCCACAAAATCCCACTACAGTTCGGATGCATTCTTTACCAAGCAGACACAAAGCAGCCAGAGAATATGAAACTGTGTCCAACGAGTCCGTTTATGGGTCTCAGAATGGTGGCAAGGGAACCTCTCAAGCAGCTGTAATGTGATTAGTGAGCAAGGATCAGCAGCTGCTGGGTGACCCAGTGGACCAACCCCACAGAAACACCACACACCAGGAAAGCAGACCCCTGGCTGGAGTCTGAACACCAGATCCTAGCTTGGGACAGACCAGCAGTGGCTAGTTAGAGGTATGTACTCAGGACCAAGGCTCACTCACTTCCCTACAGACATGCATTCACTTACTCCACCAGGAAAGGAAAAAAATAAGAGTTAATTTACTTTTTATTGCCTCAGAATTCCAAGGTTTAATGTAGCTGTCAGTTTGAGTGCGGTGCAGCTGCTGGCCGATACAATGCAGCCCAGGCCAGGCCAGGTGACTGGGGAAACACATTTCACAGAAATGAACCAACACACACTCTTGGCTGGTTGTTTGGGGGATATTGACTTGGGGAATCAGATTAACCCTTCAGGCTGGGGTTATTTCTGCATACACCACTGGAAAAGCAGCTTCAGTCCAAGGAACTGAGAAGCCTGGTGTCAGGTAGACTAACAGGTTTCTGTGTTCCTGCACTTCTGGAGTTTTCTCACACAAGGTGTTATTCCACAAAATGCTCTGAAAGGTTAAGGTGTGAGACAGGTGAAGCAAGTTATACCACAATAGAGCTCCTTTCAAGAACTCAGAAAGAAAGGCAGATCTGCCAGCTTTATAGGGAAAAGGTCAGGTAGGAACTTTTCTACAAGTTCCATCAGGGGCGGGGCCAAGGGAGGGAGACAGTTTGGAGAGTGGAGTGCTGAGGTCCAACCAGGTCTCAGGCCATCCTTCTGGCAAGTCTAAGGAGGACTGAGTCCTCACACACCCCTTCGTATTTTTACTGGGTGAACAGGCTGACTGGTGATTAATATCAAGTACAATGACCCCATGTTACAAGCCTGCAGGGGCCTGTGGAGGTGGCCATTTCCTGTGTAATACCAGCTTGTTTAAACACTAACATTCAAACTCCACAGCTGCAGAACAAACCCGGAAAGAGTTGAGTGAGAAGAAGCCCTGCATTGTGTTTCAGAGCTATGGAAGATCAGAGCTGTAGTACAGATGGGAAACAAGTTGGGTCTTTTGGTTCCTGGGATGAGGAGTTCTGGAAATATAGCCAAGGTGGCACAGAAACGAGGCACAGGGAAGCTGGAAAAGAGAAAGCCCATGGACTATATATACAAAGGGGAAAGCCAAAAGGCCACAACAAGAGAAATGCTCTTAAGATATGCAATATGCTCTTTTAAAAACCTGTTTGCCTAAGGCCCATTATATTCCAGCCCACA